AAAGAAAGAAAGAAAGAAAGAAAGAAAGAAAGAAAGAAAGAAAGAAAATTTCAAAAAGATTTTAGACTCTTAAAAACAAAAAAGACTTTAATATGCTGCTTTATTTCAGAACCAAAAAAAGGAGATTCACCCTATAGTTCCTGCATTTATTACTGTGACAAAGCACATGTCCAGGTCAAAACAGTTCCTTTGTACAGGTGTCTCTGGTTCCATAAGAAACATTGTTTGCTGTTTCATATATGAATGTTATTAAATGGTGTGCAACATTATTTACAGAATGTTGGTTGTCACAGGAAGCTATCTGCAATTTAAAATCTTGAATGTGTGTTCTAACTATAGTGAGATTTCCCCAAGTTCTTGCTCACAAAGCTGTGACTTGAGCTATTTAAAAAAAGGCTCTTTACTTGGCAAAGGCTTTAATTAGCAGAAATTTCCACGCTAGGAATATTATTCTGCATGAGCAGAAATTGCATAGCTCTTGCCTGTAGATGCCTTAGAGATGCCATTGATTGGCCATATTCAGAACAGGGGAATTATGTGACCCAGTGCTAATTTGAATTCCTTTACCAAACACATTTTTATTTCATCATCTCAGCTGCATAAAAGAGTCAAAGTACCAGAGCTGTAAAGACTTTGAATTCCTGCTGTTCTGCAATAAAATAAGGCAAGAAATATTAGCCATCCCTGGTTGATTCTTTAATTCTTTCCCAACAATGTCAAAGTATCAGTGTCCTACAGGTTTTAGTGCAGGTTAAAGACTGATACAAAGTGTAGGTTTGAATAGGAGTTTGGAGTGAGTTAAGGGGAGAGAGAACATTTTAATAGGACATTGGTCCAAAATAGCCCAGCTTGTTCCTACCTCCTGCTGCCTCTTCCTCCTTTTCACAGGACCTTGATTGTATAGAAACACTACAGACAAAAACCACAAACAACAAAAGGTTTGCTCATGCCCCCAGTGGAGGTCATGAGCATGCTACCATGGAGAAACAGAAAAAGCATCAAAGGATGGTCTGGGTTATTTATAAGCAACGATTAATTAATGGGAGGTTTGATACTTTAGCAACTTACTTTGGGCAAATTTGTATTTGCAAATTGTTCATTTCAGACATGGAAGAGGACCAGAGCAACTGTAGCCTGGTGCTAATTTTAAAAATGAATCAAACCTTTCTTTGCCCCGGTCCAAAAACGACAAACTTGTGGTTCAGAGGCTTTCAATAGTATCTGCTCCAATCTGACACTCCAAGGTTAGAAAATCACAAAAAGGTTGTGTTATACACAGCAACAGGAGCTTTTTCCAACAATTTTTTCAATTATTGCATTGTGTACTCTCCAAGAAAAGTAACTTGTCTTGGCTTTGGGAGGAACAGCTTTAAAAAGAGAGGCAGAATGAACTAATTCAGTTCAAATACACACCTCTCCCTCACAGATCAACTTGAAAACTGCAGTTCACTGTAACTACATTTATATCCACTGGGCAGCTATGACCTGTAGTTGAGAAAAACCTGCATCACATGACGACTTGGCCATGATGCAACATACACCTAACTCAATTCCCAGCCCAAGTAAACCCTTCAGAAATCCCTCCTGCCTCTTCCCGCTTCAGATCACACTCAGAAATGCTTCCAATGCTCAAACTCCAAGCCTTTCCTCCCCCTTTAACCCTTGCAATTTAAATACCTGCTTCAGAATTAGCAATGAGCCTTGTTTCATGGCAGGACAGCTCAGGTTAGCTCTCCCAAGAATACATAACAATTGCTAGCTGATTGATTCACCTCTCCTACATTCTTGCAGCAAACAGAGAGGGGTAATGCCTTTTGAGATTGCACGGTAGGTTTTGCTTTAATCCAACCTTCTGTTTCTTTCGGCATCTATCAGTGTATCCCTCTTGCTTTGTGAGTATTTCTGCTCCCACCTACCGATCGATCCCTCTCTACTACTTGCTTACTAGAGCGTCTTCCTCCTAGCTGTCTTCCTATGATCATGTCTTAATCTCTCCTCCCTCCTTCCCCTGGCTTTATGGAACCCAAGGTGCTCCCCTGTTCAGGTTGGGGCCCCAGCCGCGGCTGAGGCATGTGTCTCCCGTCAGTGGCTGAGCTCGAATTAATGCAGTCGCTATATTGGAAGCAGAGGGAACTAACCGTAGCGCTCCCTGCAAACTTTCCCAGCCCCCGGAAACCCTCGCCCCCCGGCGAGTCAATTTCAGAGCCGCGCATGGTCTGGTGTGTGTGTCCCTCCCCCCGTGCCCCCAGCCCAGCCCGACCTCCCCCAGCCCCGGTGCCAGCGCTGCTCACCTCGCGGGCCAGGGGATTGGCCGAGCGGGCTCGGCATCAGCAGCGCGGAGGGGTCGCTCCCACCTCCCCACGCCAGCCCGCATCCCGGGGCACCAGGAGAGCGGCTGCAGCAGGGGGAACCTGGAGCCCCAGCCAGCGGGCGCCGCTAGCCAGGCTGCAGCATCCCCGAGCCGGCGCGCGGCTCCGCAGCTCCCCGCGGGTCTCGGTGCAGCAGGATCCCCCCGATGGCCGGCCGCCTGGCGTGCTGGCTGCTGCTCTGGGCGCTGGGGCAGGGGGGCTGCCACACGCTCCCCGCGGAGGAGGAAAGTGCCAGCCGCAAGCCCAGGCCCCCTGCGGCTCCCCTGGCCATCGCCTCCCCCAGCAGGGACCCCCCGGGGGGCTCTTCGCCTTCCCCGGCGCTGGGCAGCCTCGCTCAGGACGCGGTAGCTGTCCACATGCTTAAACTCTACGAGAAGTACAGCCGGGAAGGCAGCCGGCCTGGGGACGGCAACACGGTGCGCAGCTTCAAAGCCAGGCTGGGTAAGCCCTTGCGGAGCTTCGCGCGGGGGGTGGGGGTCAGAGGCACTGCGGGGGTGGGGGGCCCCGGGGTCGTGGGCAGAGCTCCCATCCTCTGGTGCAGGCTCACTGCAGGCGGACTCCTGCAAACCTGTCCCTAGCTGTGCGGAGTGTCGGTGACGGAGGTGGAAGGTTTCCTTGCCTAGATGAGCAATGCTGGATGCTTCCCTGCTAACACCTACGCTGCCCGTTCCCTTTGCTCTGGGAGCCACGTCCAGTCTCCATACGTGCCCAGAAGCCGACAGAGGACGCATTTGTTTACCAAAAAAACTACTGTCCGCCTTTTTTAAAGCAGCCCTTGGCGTGGCAGAAAACTATCAGCCAGGAGAAGCGATTTCCCAAAGGGCCTCCCGCTAGTTCAGAGGGGTCTCCTCGCTCCTCAGATAATTAAAAAGTCCCCAACTACGATGACAACTGTGCAAACTTAAAGAATTCCAGAAGCCTCTTAGAAACAGCGCCACCTATGGGACCTTCTAAAACTTCTCTCTCTCCCTGTATTGTGGTACCTAGTATTAGCTCTAAAAAGAATAGAGTGGGTGGGGGAATCTGTCTTCCTTTTCTGCCTTACATCAGTGGGACACTTGCTGCATCCAAAACACTTTATTCTGAAATGCGTTTGTTAAATCAATCTAGGAAACTGTCCATCACTTAACTGAAGAAAAGCCATGTTCAATATTTAGACTGAGGCTTATTTGGCACTTTGTTAAAAAAAACAAAAAAAAACAAATACAGCATTGGCATTAGTGGCTGGGCCAATGGCATCTTTGGGAAACCCTTTTCAGCACAGGATTAAGATATTGTTTAGACGAATTAGGAAAGATTAGCAAAATAAAAAAAATCCTCCCTTTTGGAATTCCAATACATGTATCATTTTTCTCACTTCAAAAGAGGCTTTTTATTTTAGTATCAGAGGGGTAGCCGTATTAGTCTGGATCTGTAAAAAGCAACAGAGGGTTCTGTGGCACCTTTAAGACTAACAGATGTATTGGAGCATAAGCTTTCGTGGGTGAATGCCCACTTCGTTAGTGCATTCAGGATGTTTTAGATAAGCACATTAAAAACTTGAATCGGTATCAGGATTGCATAGGTTTTTAAAAACACTTGCATTCTGTGAAGTGCAACGCAGTATGTAATATTTTATAGTAAGCAGTTATTAGTAAGTCATTGCTATAACAATGCACATTAACTTACTTTTCAGTATTGTAAGTATATGTAAAATGTAGTTTAAAATGGACAACATTTTCTGCACGGAGTTGATGCTCAGCTGAATGCATTTAAGGTTAATGTGCACATCTAGAGTTTTATTAAAAATCCCAGACATTTGGAAGGGAGGAAACACTCCTGTATCAGAGCATTAGCCAACCACTTACTGATGGGGGCTAGGAAGAAACTTCCCCAATGGCAGATGATTGCCTATCGTACTACTACATACAGCATTTCTTGCACTTTCCAGTGAAGCAGTTAATACTGGCTACTGCCTGAGACAGGGTCCTGGACCACTGGTCTGATCTGGTAAGCCAGTTCCTTCTTTCCTATGATGTAATCTTACTCATACTCTGGTTAATCTGTTTTAAAAGTAACTTGAATAGACTTGGGTGGCTGAGTTTATTTTAAAACATACACACATGCCATTTATTGAAATGTAATAGTATTTAGCATTTAAGTAGCTAAATACCTTACCCACAGTCTCACAGATCAACATAACTTCACAAAGGCGGGTATTTTGATATCCATCTTATTGATAGTCCAATTGAGGCACAGAGCATTGGAAGTAACTTGCCCAAACTCACACAGTGAGTAAAATGCAAAGCCAGGTCTGAAACCAGAGTTCTGACTCCCAACCTAGTGTATTCTCTACTAGATCTCCTTTCTTTCTTCAGCAGCCTGAAAGAGGAAAGCCCCTCCACCAGGCCCCTTGTGGCCAAATTATTAAGGAAATAACATTCTTTTCTCATTATTGTCCCTGGTAATTTACAAAATATGGATCACCATTTTCTGAGATTAACTACTGTATAAGAATGTCCAAGACCAGCATGGGAGAAATGATCTGATTTTTCCTTCCTTTCCTTCATGATATCCTAGAGTTCTTGGGCGAGGGGGGAATTTGGGGGACAGGGAAGCATCACTTTCTTTTAGCAACATACATGAAATTTCTGTACAGACAACACCTATGGCAACCCTTTATTGTGGCAGGCAAAAAAATGTGGCAGCTATGAAATCTGTTTGTTTCCCTCTTCCAGTGATAGCTCTAGGTTTAAAAAAAATAGTTGGGTACATCCTTCCTAAGATTCCCATGGTCCTCTGTAACATAAGGGTGTTTGCAATAGGATATATCATATTACATATTTAAAAGACAGTTGGATCAAGCACGCTGAAGTTAAGAAATGCCAGAATTAGGGTTGCCCATGCAATCTTAATTTGTCCCCCAGTACATATGCATTATGAGACTGTCCTTAATGACAAGATCACATACTAATGTTTTCTTCCACAGGATCCCTGTCTCATTCAGTGCATAACATGGATGGTGCTCACTGACTGAGTAGCGATTCAATATTTCTCATCTTCCTCATTCAAATGTATCCCTGTGCCCTATTTGCTACACACCATCTAAACTTTGCACTGAATACCTTAACTTCCTTGTGGGCTCATCCATAGTGCTCCTTGCTGTAATAAGAGTGCTGCAAAAAGAGTAATGGCATTACCTCACAGGGGTTTCGGACAATAGGGAGGTACCAACCCTATTTTACAAATGGGGACATGAGGCAAACATATTAAGGCCCAAATTGGCAAAAGTATTCGCTGACTTCGGGCTCCCAATCTGAGACTCCCCAGGCTTGATTTTTGTTTCCAAGCACTCAGAACTCCATATGTTCAAAGCACAGTGCCAATCTGCTCCAGTTGCAGTCGTGAGTGCTCAGCAGTTCTGCAAATCTGTCCCCAGATGTTTCACACTGGGCATCCAGAAAGCTGGACGCACAATTTATGACCCCCTGTGACACACTGAGAATCATCTACACTTTTGCGGCAGACAGAATTCAGTTCTCCCGGGCGGTAATCAAGTGTGTCTAAACCACGAGACCATCCTTTCTGTTCATGTTGCATTACTACATGCTTCCCAACTTCGTGAACAAAGCAGTGCTCCAACAGACACCAGCCTCCTTTGCTACACAACCCCGACTCATTCCCTGAGCACCTCCATCTTATGCACTAATGAGACAGGGGTCATGCAGATGTGGGGAAAGCAATGCAATCATGTACTTAAAGATTGCATCATAATGCACACGCACAAGAGAGCCTAATAAAGGATGCACAGGCAACTTGGTCTCCTGCTACTTTGCCCACCTGGCTCTTCCAGTGTCCCATTCCATTTTGTGGAGAACATCAAAATTTTGATTTTTTGTTCTGAATTGGAACAAAACCAAATTTTGAAATGTTGAAATCCTCCCCAAAATGCAGCCTAGCTCTAGTCTGAAGTCATGCAACTGCTTTGGAGCCCCCTAGTGGACTATCTGCTGAACAGCCAGGCTTCTTCATTTGGACCATGGACCGCTATATTGCTAAACCAAGGACTCAGTCATCACGGAGAGATACTTATTTTCCACGCTTTCCTGAGTCGAGCAGTGGCCACGCCTGGTGTCCAGCAGGACATGGAAGTGCTAAGAGGCTGTTTCTGCTCATGGCTGGCGGTCTGGGAAAGCTTGTTGAGATGTCCAGCCCCACTTTCCCAGTCTCCAGAGGCTTGGAAAAGCTGGGGCTACCCAAATAAACCTGAACGCTGACCCTTTGGAGGGCTGCCCATCACTAGACTCCCCCTTGTGATTGTGTGATTAGACTTAACCCTTGAGACTAGAGCTGGCTGAAAATTTTCCAATGGGAAAAATGTTCTGTCGGAAAATGCTAATTCAACAGTGTGACACTTTCTTGGGGTGCCCAGGAGTATGAGTCACCTTGTAAACACCCCCACCTCCCCTCCTTTAGGAGAGAGACTTGCTGATGCTCACCTGGGTGTCAGCTCCCTGACAGCACCAGTCTGTTAGCCACCCAAACAATTTCCCCAGGGCTCTGGCAGCCCTTACTTTGCTTTGCAGATTAACGGTAAGTGCACCCCAACCGCTTTGTCCTCTTGGATCATTCCCCTGAAGTCTCCCACCCTTCTGGACACTCTCAGAAATTACCAGCTAAACTGTCCCCAGCTTGTCTGGTTCAACTGAGGATCAGCTCCAATATCACATCACAGCACTGAGCTCTATTTACGGGTAATCATAAGTTTATTATCAAAAGCTAAGGCTTAAGAGAAAGTGAATGAGCACAGTGGTGGAAAGAGGAATGGTTACATATCAAACAAAAAGTATAATATGCTCCCTAGTGTCTAAACTTAACTGGAACGGGCTAAACCTTTGTCTAAAGTAGTTTCTCTCACCTAAAGCAATCTCCCAGTGTCTCCAACCAAAATGGATGGGGTCCCCCTTTCACAAATGCAGAAAGCACTGTCCTTGCTTCCTCAGCGAAGGATGAAGGGGTGTCTTTTTGCCTTCCCCTTACGTTCCCCAAAGTCATTGTTTTGTCCCCGGAGTCAGGATGACCCCATGGTAATTCCCTGGTGAGCTGTTTCCATGTTGCCTTCACATCTTCATGTTGACATTGTATGCAAAGGGGCTTCCGTTGTGTTGACTTACAATGCTTATTTACTTTACATGTGAACCAAGGCAGGGGAATGAATATATATCCTTTGTCTGGTCAAAACCTGCTCGTCAACCCCGCTTTGACTCAGACTTTAAAATCTGCTTTCCAGACTATATACATGACTCCTTAAATAGCCTCAGTACATCCATCTCTCAGCGATTATGAGGCTCAATTGGACACAAGCTTTTACTAGATACCTCACTTGACCTTCTTTGGATAAATACTATAAAAGCAATGTGTTGGGTGTAGTGAGTTCATGAGGCCTGTCAGGAGCTACTGTT